TCTATCGACATGAAATCACTTTTCTTCATTTCTTTTGATGCGGACTTCTTAACATCTTTGATATATATATATATACTGGTCATTAAAATCAGTTCAGAAATATTTTACTACAATTTTTTTCAATTGCATTATTTCTTTTACATACATTGAAGCCAATGACCTCTGAGGACCATTGTAAGAGGAGATACAGATATTGATGTTTAAAACTGTATTTTACATGCGCTTCATTTCATTTTATTAAACATCTAACGGTTGAGCTCTCGAGCTGTGTTTGTGCAGCCTGTTGTTCTGCTCTAAGCTGATTAACTGGACGTGATCGAGAGCAAGTTTATATACTGTAGATTAAAACATGAGCGAATCACAACAGAATGAAGAGAGCGCTGATGTGGCTTTCATTAATATTGGCTTCTTTGGGAAATATGAGAAAGAAATGTCTTTGTTGTTTATTCTTAAGCTTTCATTCAGAAAATTGATAGAAATGCAAGTGAAAGTCAAATTAATGTGAAATGAAATATTATTTGCTCAAAAATATGAGTGCCAAAATTATTGGCACCCCTAGATTATTATGAGTAAAAATATAACTGAATTATATTCGTATGTTAAGTTGACCTGAGTGATTAGGAACATTTAAATAGAAAGTGATGATATATATATATATACACACATTCATAACATTTGGGGAAATATATATATATATATGAAAGCATTTTCTTTGTTAAACCTGTAAACATTCAGAAACCTGAAAATGTATTACAGATATTATACATCTAATGATAAAATGAGTATTTTAAGTTTATGCATTTTTTTTCTTATGATTCAGTTCATCTACGATAAAAAAAAAACACTTGAATCAGACAAATCATTTCAACATAACTTTAATGCTTCTGGCAGCCACTTCTTACAGAATTAGCAAAACTGATGCATTGTTATTAAATAAAAGGACAGACATTAAGATTAAAAAAAATGGATCATTTAAAAGTGAAAAAAGAACCGTAAAAATACTAATATTTAAACAAATGAACGCAGCTGTTCTCAAACTCTAGTACGTTTCAAACAGTCTTTAGAACAGAATAAAAAATATGACATTTTTGAAACAAATGACAGACATGAGACGCTTCACTAAAATGAGATTCATAAGAGTTCAAGAACAAAGCACTTTTATAAACAATCGTTTATGCTAATAAACAGCAGTGCATGATGGGACACTATTGCTTTGAGGTGGATTGCATAAAGCAGTTAAAGCCATGTATGCATAAATACATAAAGAGTGATTTTCCAAAGCAAGAACAGCGTCATCAGCAATATTAACAAACAAAAACACGTGCAATCGTTCCAGACATTCACACAATCCTGAGATGCAGCGCATTCAATATTTCTGTCATTTAATCATATAATGACTTCAGGATTTACTGAACGTGATTGAGGCTGGTCAACCTGAGTTGAACTAACCTGAGATCTTTTCTCCTGTGCTTATCTGTTCAATTAAAGCTTCGTTATTGCTTACTTTCTCTGGTTTATAGATGCTAATAATGTGATCAGAGCGTCTCACACATGCGTTCATGCAGCTCATGATAAAATCATCTGATTTAAAGCCTCAAAAAGAGTTTCAAACTCATTATTATCTCACATTGTTACAAACTTGAAATCACAGTGATATCCAAATGACAAGTAAATTTAACCCAAACTCAACAATAAACTCAAATAACTGGAGACACCAAAGCGAGTTCTGCAGACGTGAGACGTGCAAAAGAGGAAAAGCATGGACCGTCAGTAAACTTCTCTGTATGCTTGTCTTGTTTTCCAGTACAAATATCTAAACGTCCTTAAATTAAGATATGAAGTGAGTTTGTGACGTGTGTTGCATTTCAAATTGACCCGCATTGGTTTCCATGCAATTCACAAGCAAATCAACACTAAAGATTCATGTAAGCACAGAAAACCTCTATTGTGGCTTGTTAGAGAAGCAGTTTTAAAATCAAACATGGGTCAAAACGACCCGTGAAACAATAGGAGGGGATAAAGGTGCTGTAGGTAATTTTTTGACTGTGCTAATACATAAAAATACCGTAATATGTATTTGGGAAACATGCTAAATTCACAAACTTGTTTCTTCAACAAAAAAAACAACAACGCTCCAGCCAGTTATTCTGCATTGAAATGTGCGTTCCGTGTCGGAATGTCTGTTTTTGTTTTGTCTGTGTGACTCCGCCCACTGCCAGTTCACCCAATAGGATCTCGACAGCCCGGGTTGCCAGTTGGTGGAAAACACAGCGTACTCGAGCCATGGAAGCTAGCAAACGAACCGAGTCAGAGAGCGCAGATTCCACCCGAACCTAAAGAGCCTCAGCTTATGACCAGAGGCGTATTTAAACACGGATAAATCAACTAAGGCTCATCACCTTCCATTGACGATTGCGCTCGCTCGTGTCGCGCATCCTCAATCTGGCAACCCATGTTTGTGACCGACCATAAAACATATCCAATATATTTTCATGTCTGTGAAAAATTTGGGATTAAACGGGTTAATAGTGTTCATCATCTGTTTGACTACACGTCTTTAATTGATTTTTCTGCCATATGTACATAAACTGACAGTCACCACTGATACACAGCTACTACTAAATATTGTAGAAACTTAATTTTCTGTAAAGTTGCTTTGCAACGATTTGTATCGTAAAAAGCGCTGTACAACCTAAACTTGACTTGACCATGTGAGCGTCGAGTCTGAGGAGGAGGGAGCGGAAGAAAACTCTCCAACAGTATGAATTTGGACTGCAGTACTCATTTCAACCACTAGCTGTTACTATTACATACCGCACCTTTAAAATTAGGAACAAATATCTGCCAATGAGATCTAAAAAATCATCCTGTTTACCCTTTGAATTAGCCAATTCTTAATGTCCCAATGGCAGATATTTGTTCATGTTTTAAGCACTCACTTCTTCTGTCATTATGCATCTCCACTAAAAGTATCTAAATTTAAGAATGTTTGTACTGGGAAACAAGACAAAAAGCAATATTGTGCAGTGACCAACATTCAGGCAACAAGTTTCATACATCTTACCCTCATGCTTATGGGAAAACTCTGGATATCTAGTAGCACCTCAAACATCTCATGCTTGTAGTTTTCAGATCAGCTTCATGGTGAACCTGCCCGTCTCCATAGTCGTGCGTCCGCCTCCAGACGCCGTCGCAGCGCTGCGCGGCACGAAGTTGATAGTCGCCGTGTGTTTGATCTGCCCTTTGCTCTGACTCCAGAAAAACATGAAGATGAAACAGACGGCCACCGAGCTCAGGAACGACAGGAACCCCATGGTAACCGCGATCACCAGCGTCTTCACGTCGAACGGAAACGGCTGCGATCCGTTGACCGCCGCTTGCCCGGACGCGAAGCTCCAGCCTTCCAGAAAGAACGATCCGGAGCGGTTGCGAGTGGACGCCGGAAACCCTCGCACCCGCAGGCTCACCGAGATGCTGTCATTCCCCGCGGCATTCGAAGCGATGCACAGATAGTACCCACTATCCTGTACCTGTGCGTAACGCACCTCAAGTGTCCCGTTGGCGAGCGTGCGAATCCGACCTGAGCCGGTGAGCACCGAGCGTTTGGGATTCAGCCAAATGATCGACGGCGCCGGGTCTCCGTCGGCCGCGCAGAAGAACAAAACCGTATGGCCTTCTTCCGTCCGAACGTCTTGCGGTTTACGAGTAAGGATGCGAGCCTGCCGGCAGGTGAACACCCTGGGAATCTCAGCCTCCGTAAAGTCACCGAAAGTCCTGCCTTGCACCTGCACAGGTGTGACGCAAGCTGGCGAGCGCCCTTCGAAGCGAAGCCACGGGCGTCTGCGCATCACCCAGAGAAGCCGGCAATCGCATGCCAACGGGTTCCCGTCAAACCGAAGGACCTCTAAAGCAGCGACCGAGTGGAAGGCCGACACCTCCAGGGTTGCCAGGCGGTTCTCCGACACGTTGAGGAGCCAGAAAAATGCAAGGTTGCGGAAAGCGCCAGGCTCTATTCGTAGAAGCCCTGTACCGACTAGATGCAGCTCTTGGAGTCGTAGCAAATC